TAAATGAAAAAGATTTGTGTGAATGTAAGGGAGCTTCAAATATATATTAATAGTAATAAGTAAAAGAAGTAAAAAGTAAAGGTAGTAAAAAGGTAGTATAAGGTTTAGCGTAGATTCCTAAATTGGTTTGCATGTAGTACAAGTATGTGTGCATTACTTCGTACATTTAAGTAAACCACTCATTATGTGCATAATGTTTAACCTATTTTTGAATAGGTTAAATTTAAATGAATGGGAGAAGATATCCCTACCTAGTTTAGATGTGGATTTCACACACAGGATATGTGACAAACTAACATTTTTTGAAAGGTTGGAGTTAAACACCTCCACACTGACAAACTCTGTGTGCATGAACATGTGTTTTAAATGTAGGATGATACATAATAAGAGAAAGTTTCAGCACTATTCAAAGCCTCCTTCAGCTCTTGCTGCATTGCTATACTCTAGGATGATGGGCATCTTCATACACTGACTTCCTTGTCGCCTTCCCCTGCCCCCTCAATAGCAGAAATTGACCTTTGCTTAAATTGACCCACAGCACTCCTTATTGGCCTTATTACTTGGACAGATTAGATTTCACCTATTGGGACAAAGCAAATTATGGCAATATACTTTTGCGCCATTGTGTGGATTGTTGTGTGGAAAGTATGTTAAAGCGGCAGTCTGTATATCTTTCCCAAGCAGCAGTCTGTAGATCTTTCTCTTTTGGGCTGCAAAAATATTTGTTTTCTGAGTCTTTTTGTTGCCATCTAATGATAGGAAGATTGACTCAGCCTTCCATCCTTCCAAGATAAGGTAAAATGAGGACCAAGATTGTTGGGGGCAATATGCTGACTTTGCAAACTGCTTAGAGAGGGCTGTAAATAATTCTAAAGTGGTATATAAGTCTAAGTGCTATTGCTATATTCAGATTTTGGTAGCACAGACTTCACATTCTAGTGACATGTCATCCCGAATCATATCCTGACTGTTCATGTGAAAAGAAGGGAGAAGATGGGAAAGTATATTTTAGAATAATGGTACCAGTACCATGCATCCTTTCCATGTGTAACATAGTTGTCTCCCACATAAATCTATCAATGAGTAATAAAAACTGACCTGATCATATATCTATAAAAGGAGGGAAGAATCATACATAAATTTATATATTATGGCTTTGTGTGGTTTAAACACTTAAAATCTGTTCTTTGGTTAAAAAAAAGAGATTAACAACAGTGTTTGAAGCATTATTTTTGTTGTTTCCTATTCTACTGTATAGTATATATTCTGGATATCCTTGGTTCTTTTTCCCCCTACTTTATGGTTTTCTTACTTTTTAAACTGTAAGCTGCATAGTCTCATCTTCAGTTGGGTTGCCTTTGATTTTAATAAAATAAATAAATGCAGTGGTGACAAGCAAGCCAGTATGATCAACTTTGGGATTGCCAATTATTCATGTTCATGTCATAAACTGCTTCCAGAAAATTGCCACTGTCTCTGGAACCCTACCGTCACAGGGTGAAACTGCTGAAATATAAAGAATCATTCTCTCTGTGCAAGAATCAATGTTACATTATGAATGAATGCATAATGAAGCCTCATGACCATTGCAAATGAGAAATTGGAGGCATAAATAAGATTTGAGTCAATCAGAATGACGTACTTCCCTATGTCAACTATTAACTGGCACAAGCACCTGTCCTGCTCCATACTTAGTGTGTAAACATAGGATGTTGAATTATTTTAGAAAGTTACTTTACACAAGCACATACAATTAAATAGGAATGTAATGCACACATAGGAACTTGTATGCTGAACAAATGACAATAGCCATTTAGGGCAATTGCGAAGTTAGAAGCATACATGGAAGAATTTCAAAGTTCTTTGCTCATCTAGTTCTAAGATATTCAGCACTATATGAATATAACCCTTTTCATTGGATTTTTTTTCTGCTAAGAAATTACTTTGTATGCTTATCAGAGAGAAAATATCAGAACACCTTGGCAACATGTGTAGACTTTCATTCCAGAATTTTCCAGCCAGTATGGAAGTTGAAGTCTACATATCTTGAAATGGCCAGGCTTGAGAAACCTTGTTGTACATGACTTTGCTGTTACTTTCAATGTTTTCCATATTGTTGTCCATATTGTTGTACATGACTTTGCTGTTACTTTCAATGTTTTCCATATTGGTTGTTCCCACTGTGATTTTGGATCCTGCAGGTGAAGTGAGCAACATTTTGCTCAAACATTCCCCTGTAGGTTATTGATGGAAGTGGATCTGTGAATGCTATGCCATTCAAGGAATTCTAACTTGGGATATCTGAGAAGATTCACTGGAAATGCAGTCCAGTTACCCAATTCTGCCATGCTTCTGCATTAATTATTCAACTTCTCAGCTGGTAGCCACACATGCTGGCAGGCTTACTAGTACTCCAGGGCAGTTTGTCAACAATATTGCCCTCATGCCTTAAGCCCTCTTCTGTTTTTGCAGTAGTTATGCTTACTACAAGGCTACATAATCTTGGCCTTCTTGGAGTCACTATCCTTCTGCAAGCCATTTCTGTTTCTCTTTGTACTTTTTTTTCCAAAAGTAGGTACAGACACAGGAGCCCACTGAAAACTAGGGCCTGCTTTTTTAAAGACTGAAGTCTTTGTGCCTTTGAAATTAGCACTCACGAACAAAAAAAAAAAAGAGAGAGCAAAAACAAGGCACAGATGGAAAACAATCTGTGCAAAAGAAATGGGGTGGAGGTGGGACCCATTATGTAAAGAGAAAAGGTCAGAAAAAGGCTTGAATATTGTTGCCATATATACAACTTACTCACAAAATACAGACATTGCTAGATTTCTTTATGAGTTCCTAACTTTTTTTCAATAAAGATTTCTTTTCAAAACTTGTCTTTGTCAGTTTCAGTCCTACCTATTGGGTGAGGTTTGAAATTTAATCCTTTTCTTAATTCTTCAGTCTTCCTGGTGACTGAAAAAACTTCTTTGTTGTCAGTAGAAGGTGGGGCAGAATATAATTCAGTCTATTTCCTCAGTAAACGAGAAGGATTTGCAAATTGATCCTGATGCTTATTTCCCTGCCTCTCTCTTTCTTCCTTTCTTTTGTAAAAGGAAAGAACAAAACCTCAACAGTCTCAGGAAACTGAAATGAGAATTATTCTCAGTGTATGTAATGCTGCAGTCTTAAACTGATTTCCTTTAAAAAGGTTGTCCAACACAGACAGGGATGCTTAGATTTGTGTAGGTCTATAAACTGCCATCATATTATTTCAAACTGAGTACTTTATTAAATATTTCCTTTATAGTATCTGAAAAAGTATTTTAAAAAATGAAGAGTGTTTCTATTTCCTACCTCCATATCTATTGTGTCTAAATTGCTATAATAGTATGCCGTTTGTTAGAGATGCATTAGTGGTTTTCTACTATGAATATTATAAATTTTTTTCTTACAGCAATTGAAGCTCCCAAACCTATATTCCTGAGAATTATGTCAAGTACAGTTAAATTAGATGAACAAAAGCTAAGATTTAAAAAATCAGTAGTCAAAAACAATGATTGCTATACCAACTGATACATAACTGCTTATTAACCCCTTTTTGCATCATGAAATAACATCTAAGCTCACCTGAAAGAAAATCCCTTTAAAAGCTATTGTTATATTTACACAATATTTCAAAGCATACTGTAAGTGTTTTAGATTACAGTGACTAAGCACAAACCAAATAAATCATCCCTGTGTGAACCAGGCTATCACATTATACCTTAATAGTGTTTGTTTTGATAGAACATATTAGTAAATTTGGTTGGTAAATTTTTTTATTTATACCAACTAAAGAAATTTGTGTTGAGTAAAACAGTCTGTAGCACTTAATTCTAAGTAGGCACATATATTGCTGATAAACAACCCATTGAACATAGAGGCTTACTGCAGAGGAAACATGCACAAATTAATAGTCTGAATACAGCATCACTCAACAAGGAGTCCAAAATGAATAAAAGAAATACTTATTCCACAGAAGACATAAAAATTGGGGAAAAACTAAGTACCAGATATAAACACAGGAAACAGCTTATTAGTATTTCACCATACTTGTCAGCTTCTCTATGGCATATAGCTAGCTACTAGGAAAATACCGTATATACTCGAGTATAAGCCGAGTTTTTCAGCACATTTTTTGTGATCTCAGAAAACAACGCGAGCCGCTGCTGCCACCTCCTCCTCCCCCTCCTCCTCCCGAGTGGACTGAAAGCAGCTAGGGCTGAGGAAACGAAGCCACCTCGGCTCGCGTTGTTTTCTGAGCCTAGAGCCAGGGCACTTTCATTGCACGGCGGAGCTTCTTGTTTCAGGAAACACCGGGTGTCGTTGCTGCTCCCTGAGGGGAGGGCGATTCTGGGCTGCGCGATTGGGGGACTTCGTGGCTTTGGGTGGGTGGGAGCGAGGACGGATGGAGTCCGTGAAGTGGGGCTTGCCTGCCCTTGCTGGCTGCCTCTGCTTCCTTAGGGGCGGGGAAGGGGGCTCATCTGGACCAAGGGTGAGTCTCCCCCTCAGTTTCCCCTGAAGGATCTTCCGTCGCTTTTGCCTTCTCCCTATGTCTTCCCTCTGTTAAAATCCCCACACACACATACACACTTATTTTCAGGCGGATAGATTTCATGTCTGAGCATTCTCACATGACGGTGGGTCTTTTCCCCTCCCTAAAAACAGTTAAATAAAGAAAAAACAATATATCCTCATGCAAGAACTTTTCTGCTTCCGATTACCCCCATGCTTACAAGTTGCAAAGGAAACACGGAAGCAGGGAAGCGGCTGCCCAGCTCCGGAGCTCCACACCATTTTTTTTTCAGAGGGAATCTCACTTGAGTATAAGCCGAGGGGGTTTTTTCAGCACAAAAAATGTGCTGAAAAACTCGGCTTATACTCGAGTCAATAAGTTTTCCCAGCTGTTTTGTGGCAAAATTAGGTGCCCCGGCTTATATTTGGGTCGACTTATACTCGAGTATATACGGTATTTGTTCTGATCTGGCAGAAGCTATTTTGGCAGGCTGAATTTCAGCAGGTGATACAATAAGTGTGTAACATCTTTTAGGGAGGAAACAATTTCCCTTCACATAAAAGACTTTCTCATTTTATTTTATATGTATTCTCAAATCATAACATCTGATATTGATCCATAAGTAATTTTGTATTATCTAAGTCAGGGTGTCAAACTCACATAGTCATGGTGGTGTCACATGACGTATTGGGACTTTCCCTCTTCACTAAATTATGCATAGACTCATCCAGCCCAAGACCTGTGACTTTGAAAGCCCTGATCTAAGTGTTCAGATGATTGAAAGCATTAAAAAGCATCTGTAATTTTTTTTAATGGAGTTAATTGTTTCTTTTGGGGATAGGGGTTCTGGGCCTATAGCTATTTAAAACAGCCAAAATTTTGCATCCTTTGCATCCTGCAACTTATAGCATTAGCTTCATCTGCACTTCATTCTGGTTAATAAGGAAGTATTTCTGAGCCTCCTAGATAATAGTTTATGTCCATGTCAGTGGTTATGCAGGAAGAGAAATACTTTGAAGATAGTCTGTAGATTCCATTAAAAGGTCAATCAAGTTTTTAGAAAATTCTTCAAAAGGGCCCGCTTCACCATTATATTCTTCTGGGAGAAGGCTGACTGGAAAATGTTTCTGGAGCCCATGTGTAAAGTTGTTCCCATGCAGATGGATCTGCAATTAGATAATATCTGGATTCATATACTATGCTACAGATCAGCTTATAAGATGACTGTTAACTTAAAATAGTGTTAAACCAAGTGTCTTGATTTATCAGCTGAAATTAAAAACAAATACATAAAAAGTCAAAAAAATCATAATTATATGAAATTAGAAATAAGATACAATGAAAATGGATTCCCCTACTGACCCATCTGAATGTCTAAATAGACATTTTCAAGATTACAATTCAATGAATACAAATCTATACAGAAAATGTATATAAAGTGATATGGAGTAAAATGTCATATATTTTAGGATAAGAGCTCTATTAGGATAAGAGCTCTATTCTCTCAGACAGGGGTGGGATTCAATTTTTTTAACAACCGGTTCTGTGGGTGTGGCTAGGTGGGCATGGCCATGTGACTGGATGGACGTGGACTTTTCTGTTATTTTTTGCAGCACCTCTCCTCCCCCATTTTTGGGCCTTCTGGGCCTCTGGAAGCCTCCTGGGGGACATTTTTGCTCCCAAAACACTTCCCTGGGGCTCAGGAAGGAAAAAAAATGGAGCAAGGGGGGCATGTAACACCCCCCCACACACACACACACACTCCATTTTGGGGCCTTCTGGGCCTCAGGGAAACCTTTGGGGGGGGCATTTTTGCTCCCAGAAGGCTTCCCTGAGGCTCAGGAGGAAAAAAACAGAACCTAGACTGGGCATGCAGCACCTACCCATGCTCCATTTTGGGGCTCAGGAAGAAAAAAACCAGAGCTGGAGGGGCAGGCAGCATCCCCCCCCCCCCATGCTCCATTTTGGGGCCTTCTGGGCCTCATGGAAGCTTCCTGGGAGAGTGTTTTTGCTCCCAAGAAGCTTTCCTGGGGCCCAGTAAGGCAAAAAATGGAGTGCAGGGATGTGTGTGTGCTATCCCTACTCCATTTTTTGCCTTCCTGAGCCTCAGGGAAGCTTCCTGGGCAAAGCAGTGAGACAGCGAGGGGAATCCCGGCACAGCTCATCATACAAACAGCTGATCATCAGGCAGGGGAAAAAAAGAAATACCTTAAGGAGTGACTGGGCAGGATAGAATGCAGCCAGTGATGTTGGACATGCATGTGATGTCACACATGCACGATAAAGGCAGGGAGGGGTGGGCAGGGAGGGGCAGGGCCATCCAGGGGCACGATTTGCCAGTTCTCCGAACTGCGCAGAATCATAAAAACCAGTTCTATAGAACCGGTCTGAACTGGTAAAATCCTACCCTTGATCAGATGTATATAAGATATAAATTTGTTGGTCCACTTAAGGCAGGGATGTCAAATTCATGGCCCTATACTAGCCATATACATACTAGCCATGCCACTCCCAATTTAGCAAACAGGGAAAAAGTCACAATATGTCATGTGGCAATGTGACGACACAAGTTTAACACCCCTGGCTTAATGGTAAAATTTTGAAAATATAAGAGATGGAAGAGAATGACCATGTAATTATGATCATCTTCAAGAATGATCATGTAATTATGTGGCATTAAATGATTACATAATTGTTCCAGGAAAATCTGGCTTTCAGAAAAAGTCCATAATGTTGCAAGCATATAGTATATTTTTATTATGAAAAGAAGGAAATAGGCAATAACAATATTTATCAACCTCAGCAACTTTAAGCTGTGTTGATTTCAGTTGCGGAAATCATTAGCTAGCCAAGTGGCTGAAGAGTAGAAACACTGGCCAAGAGACTGGGCTACTTTATACATTTTTAAAAGTGGGGGTTTTTTTGTGGGAAGAAATAAATATGAATAGATTACTTGGATTTTTTTAAAAAAGTCTTCCCAGCAATATTTGGGAGAAGAATCTTTTCCATTCCTATCATCAGGAAATAACAATTTCACCCAAAATTACTCAGCAGAATTCATACACTCAGCAATAACATGTTTATCTATGAACTTGCATCTTGCTTTGAACCCAAAATGGCAGCTTTAAATGTGGTTTCCTATTAATTAAAATAATAAAAGAGATGTTGAATCAGAATGGAATTGATGTATTTTTTCAAAAGAAAGAAGTGCTGGTGCTGAGGTAGTAAGGGATCAATTCCATAACAAATAAGAATTTGTGCTCACTTACCCGTGCTTTGACTTTTTCAGAGAGAAAATGCTTAATTAGATTAAAAACATGGTAAAAAATTAGAGGTTCTCTAATCAAGTGGATTCCACGAACTTTTACTGGGAAACCATCCTGCCAAAAAAGGGGAAAATAAGAAAACAAAGCAGAGGTGAATTTGCTGGTTTTTGTGTTGATTCCTGGAACTATCTGGAAAAGTCCCTTCCATTTTTTTTTAGCAAGGTTTTATGAGCCATGGTGGCACAGTAGTTAGAGTGCAGTACTACAGGCTACTTCTGTTGATTGATGACTGCCTGCAATTTGACAATTCAAATCTCAACAGGCTCAAAGTTGAGTCAGCTATCTATCCTTCTGAGGTGGGTAAAATGAGGACTCAAATTATTGGGGGCAATATGCTGATTCTGTAAACCACTTAGAGGGGGCTGTAAAGCACTGTAAAGTGGTATATAAGTCTAAGTACTATTGCTATTTGGATGTGGTTTGCCACTGCCTGCTTCGGGCTGAAAGGATGTGACTAGCCCAAGATCACTCAGCTGGCCTTAAGCTTAAGCAAGAATTTAATCACTACACCAAACTGGCTCTAAATATAAGAGTGCCGATATTCTAATGTATACAGTATACTTATATAAGCAACATATAGGAAATATGGAAGAGGTCAATATATAGGCTGTTGGTTTGACTTCTGCGCTTGGCAATGTGGTTGCAAACTTTTCATCACCACCCAAGAAGAAATTGTCAGTGTGTTTTGAGTTTAACTGTCTCCTCAAATGGTGATGAAATGTTTGCAACCAATTGCCAAGCTCGGAGCTCAAATTGCCAAGTTCAGAGCTCAAACCAGCAGCCTAACTACCAACCCAAGCTACTAATATTCAAACATATTTCAAGGTCAATATATTTAATATAGAAAACAATTTCTTTGAAAAGGTTTTAAACATAATTGTTTTATGCAAACAACCATACCTATGTTTTGAAGTATGTATGGACTGCATTTATAGAACAATTACTGAATACTCAATTGTAAGGTTAGAGAATTGACTTCAGAAGTGTATCTATTTCAGACATATCTCTCACATTATTAAGATCTTGATTATGGACTACCAAAAGATATGTTTAAATTAATTAAAACAGTTATCAACTGAAGTGCACTGAAAACTATGGAGACAATGTGAAGTTATTGGCTATAAGCCCAAGACAGTGCACATCTTTGTCTTATAAGCAAGTCACAGTGTCACACAATCCAAGGTGACCAAACTCTATCAGAGCCTATAATAATACAGGGCAAACCTGAAGAGTTTGTCTCTTGAAGTCAACAGTGTTTGTGTCCAAGCAAATCTCTGCACCATTCTTCTTAACACTTAGTTGCCTATATAGAAGATGGACAGAAACCAAGATGTGGACATCCAGGCAGACTATTCTTTACTCAGTTTGAAGAAGGTTTAATTTTGGATTGTAGCATAAAACTATATGGAAAAGGTGCTATCTATCTGCTTCAGTTCAATTTAGTCCTTGGAAATTAGCACAAAATTCCACAGTGGAATAAATAAGAATAAAGCTTACTGTAAGTACAAATGCTATTTTCCTGATCACTGCTGGAGTGATCTGAAATGCATGAGCAAATTTCCATCCTTGGAGATCGAAGATTGTCTTGACTCCATTCCGTTGAGTGTCTGGCTCTCTTATAACAAGCTCAGATACCATAATACTTACACGAAAGAGATCATATGCTGTAAATATCTTAGGGTCCCATTGTGCTAAATGCAATATATAGACATGAATTATTTAACAATAAGCCAATTTTTCTGCACAAAGTGAATATTTTGTCTTAAATAACATTCTGGACTGAGCAGCAGAAATAATGGGCAACAGTGGAAACGTTGTTTTCCAAAACTTGTGCATCATCAACTATTCCAGGCACTAGGTAGCCGTAACACAGGTAGTCCTCGACTTATGACCAAGATTAGACCCAAAATTCCTATTGCTAAGTGAAGCATTTGTTAAGTGAATTTGCCCCCATTTTACAATCTTTCTTGCCACAGTTGTTGCATGAATCGCTGCAGTTGTTAAGTTAGTAAGATGGTTGTCAAGTGAATCTGGTTTTCCCATTGACTTTGCTTGCCAGAAGGTTGCAGAAGCTGATCACATGACCCTGAGGCACTGCAACTGTCATAAATATGAATCAGTTGCCAAGCATCTGAATTTTGATTACATAATCACAGGGATGCTGCAATGGTCATAAGTATGAAAAATGATCATGTCACTTTTTTCAGTGCCGTTGTAACTTAGAACAATCACTAAATGAATTATTGTAAGCTGAGATCTACCTATAGCAATCATGATATAAAATATTTTTTTTCAATTGATATGACTTTCCTAGTAACAAGCAGCGCACAATCAATATTATGAAAGCCAATATATAAATGCAAATAAGAAACACCTGTAGTATCTATACTGTGAAAATGTATTACAATTAAGCCACAATTAGGAGTCACAATTTAAATACAACCTTACTTTATAGACCACTTCACAAAATCTATCATAATTATTCTTGCTAAGAAAACAATTACAACAAATAAAGATAAAAGAGTGATAAGCATTACTAGAAATGTGCACATCATTGATTTCAAAGACTAAGGATGAATGGATGAAACAAGGAATTGAAGTACTGGATTATTCTCCATCAACTCCAAATCTGTCAGTTCTTGATAGGGAAAAGAGGGGTTTTCTTAAAAGTTGTCTAACAGATCTTTGTTTTTCTTATTTTCCCATTGCTGAAATAGTAGGGCTTGGATAACCCAGGTTAAAAGGTACCATTGGATAGAAAAATCCCAACAGGCTTTCTTTACCTGTGAAATTCTACTCCAGCAGTAAAAGGGCACCGATGGTGCATTTAATCTTCTTTTGACAGCTATCAAACATAGTAATGCTCTCTGAACTGCATCTATTTTCTTGTATTTTCAAAAGAAGTCAAAACCGCTAAATTCTAATTGGATTGTATCTAAATTTCTTGGAACACTTGTAATATATCAGTGCGAGTGACATCTGAACAGATGTGCACCTAAATATTTAATTCAACATCATTAAAAGCATAGTCTCTGTGTTTTATAATCTACATTTTGCCTCCAAGTTGCTTGTTCAAACAGATTCTCTCTCTTCACTCCCTAGTCTTTATCTGATTATTGCTTTATGGTTACATTTATTTCAGGCTTTTTTCTCATGCCTTAATAATCAACAGCTCATGAAAATTATCTGTAAATTATCGTTCAGTTGGCCAAATATTACTGCTGATCTCAGTGTAGCATTTGCCTTAAAGTCTCCCCCTTTTCAAGTTGTTTGAAAATAAACTTAATAAAGGTGTACATACAGATGTAAGGTTCATTTAATATGCAAGCAAAACTTTCATGAAAGAGTTGTGGTGGTGCAGTAGTTAGAGTGCAGTTCTGCAGGCCACTTCTGCTGACTGCTGGCTGCCAGCAGTGTGGCAGTTCAGTTCTCATCAGGCTCAAAATTAACTCAGTCTTTCATCCTTCTGAGGTCAGTAAAATGAGAACCCAGATTGTTGGGGGCAATATGCTGATTCTGTAAACCACTTAGAGTGGGCTGTAAAGTACTGTGAAGCAGTATATAAGTCTAAGTGCTATTGCCATTGCTTTATGCACCATAATAATGAACTCAAAGGTGCAGGGAATAGAAAACAGAAACTATTTGGGGTGAGATTAAAAAAAGAAGAGAAAATAAAGAAGCTTCCAGACAAGATAATTATTTCTCAACCAATTAAGCTTCTACAGCAAAATTATCTGTTAGCATTAAATAAAATGGAAATAAAAACAAATTATGCAAAACAAAAAAATGAGTTTTCAAATAAAAAAGGGAAATTATAAAAAAAAAGATATTGAAAGGAAAGGAAAAGAAATTTCCCTGGAAGAAATAGATGAATTTTCAAAAAGCTTTACTGAAGATTACAGAGAAACCGATTATAAACAGGTCCACAACAATAACATAAGTTTGTGTAAGTTATAAAAAAAGACTAAAACAGGAAAGGAAGGAGGTCAATTGATCCCTATGAAAAAGGCAGAAAAGGAGAGAGAGGAGAAAAAAAACAATTCAGTTTAATTGTGTGTGTACGTGCACACATACATATTCAGCTTCAACCACAACAATACAAGAGCACACAACAGATACAAACTCAATGTAAACCACTTCATACTCGATTGAAGAAAGTACGTCTTCAGCAAGAGAGTGGTCAATGCCTGGAATGCACTACCTGACTCTGTTGTTACATCTTCTAACTCCCACTCCTTTAACCTCAAACTAAACTCTATTGACCTAACCCCATTCCTAAGAGAACTGTAAGGGGCATGCATAAGTGCACCATTGTACCTCCCGTCCCTGTCCTATTGTCTCAATTTATTCGTACCTATTTCTTATATTCTTACTCATGTTTATACTAAAACCTATTATCTTGTAAGCGATTGACAAATCAAATAAATAAATATTGGAAAGCCAGTTATCAAATATGGCTCAGTGTTTCTGCTCATCCTTCACTTCTCCAGCTGCTCAAATTTAGCTTCTTTTTGCAGGCATTCTTCTACCCTTGTTCACTAGCCAGGAGAACTTCAACTCTCTTCCCCTCAATCCCAGAACCACCAATTTCACAGAGTAAAGGGCAAGCAGTGAAAGGTGCAATGGATACGGCCATGGCCCCTGGTCCTGATCCTAAGGTTTTTAGGGCAATTTAGCAACTATTCCTGTATGCATCTTCCACCTTCATCATCCTTCACTTTGGTGTTAGACATTAGCTAAGATTATCAACATAAAAGTTACTTGCCAATTCTATAAAAGACAACTCTAGAACCACATGGATCTCTCTCTTTCAAAAGTCCAACATAGCGTGTTTGCAACAGGCTAAGAACAGAGGGTGGATGTAGATTTCCAGTTATTTCTGGGTATTCCTTTTTCCATTTGTGGTAGTTTTTGAAAACCTAAGAATAGAAATAACAGAGATGGAAATGAGATAACATAATAGCATAATTTCATGTATAATAATAGCCTGATATCTCCTACTAAAAATCTGAATGTTGCAAGCTTAGATTTATAACACTTTCCTGTGAGTTTGTCTTTAGATTCAATAGGGAATTCAATAGAAAACAGAACTCTCAGAAGAACCTATATACAACTGCAGTGATGGTGAATTTTATAATCAAATGACAAATTATCCTCAATTTACTCAAATGATAGATTATCCTCAATTTAAGAACAAAAGAATTTTAAACAAGAGAACGCAAAGCAAAGTGGGAAACGCTTGGCTTCCCTAGGTTGCCAATCTAACTAGAATTACTTTTAGCAATTCTTCCCCATCATAAATGTATTTTATGTTTCAAAATTAATTTGAATATTAATTTTCATATTCCAACCATTGTCTCTCTCACAACCATAAAATGTCCTCTCTCTTTTCAACAGTGGGAAAAAAGTGGAAAATAAAACAAGAACGAGGAACAAGTAATTGCACTGGGAAGAGAAAGGTAAAACTGAATGGAAATGAGAAAAGGAGAAGAGGAAACTGGATAAGAAAAAATAGGAATAAGCCACTGATTGATTGTGATGATGATCCTCTTTGAAGTTGGGCTCAACTTTTACTGACTACCCAGATAGCTTTTCTCCATGATAATTATTCCCTATTTCAGAGGTCCCAACTTGTGGCCCATAGGCCACTACTGGGCCATGGCCTGTTCAGAACTGAGGCTGGCTTGCACAAGAGGCTGGCCAGCGCATACATATTGTGTGCAGCTTGACTTGTGTGAGTGTCATGCCAGTGTACATGTGTACCTTGACTTGTAGGACCAATGGACCAGCACACGCGTGCATGCACATACAGCTCAACTTGTACAACCAGGGAACCAGTTCTCCTCTCTCTCCCTTCCTGTCAGGCCACCCAGCTATATAAGTTGGTGACTGTTGCCTTGCCTGATCTTTCAGGTTTTCTAATAGTGTGCCCATTGTCATTATGAGACAACCTTGCTGCTTATCACACTCACCTTCCTTCCTTCTACCTTTCCCTGCCTACTCCAGAGAATTGGTTCTTTAGGTAATATGTCAGAAGCAGGATAATTTGAGCCTCTTCTTTATGCTTCCAATAAAAACTCAGGGTTGACTTGTTTAATAATCCATGTGTTTGCTTCCTTGGCTATCCAGGTATTCTCAGGAGTCTCCTTCAACACCAGACTTCAAAGTTGTTTATACAGAGTCTTTAACTTACAACCAGTCACTCAATGTCTGTTCAAAGTTCCAATGGATCAACGTGGGGTGCACTTACCATCTAGATTCTAAGCTCCAATGGTTATCCCTCCCTGCAGTCACATGACTGCATTTCAGACACTCTACAACCAGGCTGCATTTACAACCATTTGCAGGATCCTGTAGCCATGTAATCACATTTTATGACAGTTTTACAAAGTCTGCATTTACTTCTGATTTTCCACAAAATCATGTCCATAGCCATAGCCAAATCATGTCCATTAGTTTGTTTTACAACTATGGTGTTTACTTAACCACCATTGCAGGCTCTATTACGGTTGTTACCCCAAGACTATGAGAGAGAGAGGGAGAGAGAGAGATGTTGTGTATCTCCATGAAAGTTATCATAGCTGGTGTACAGCAATCTAAATGGCCACTAGTGTTTTCTGCAGTCCAAAGAATTATTTATATAGTCCTTTGCCCTGATTCTAATGCTATAGATACTTTCTTGTCTATGCCTATGTCTGTTTATGCCTGTATGAATGCTTATTCACCATGGACTTATTTGGCTTTACCTCCTAGTAAATGCATTTTACATTTTGCTTACTTTTCAAGTAAGATATTTTATAGAATCACTTAGCAGATATAATTGCCAAGTGCCCAAAATGCAATCACAGGACCATGTGGGTGGAGGACAGACAACAGAAACTTGAATCTGGGTTGTAAGTACCTTTTGGGGGATTTGTAACAACTATGGTCACTAAGTGAGGATTACCGGTATTACACACACACATATTAAGACATGAAATTTCCATAATCTAACATTCTAACTTAAAGCTATTCAAATTTAATGCATCAGAACAAATTAATTTTAATCTTTAAAGCCAGTATGGAAGTGGTCTATAGAATGGACCCAACTGCTTACAAACATCAAAATAGGAGATAAAAGCAAGAAGTTGTCCCAATATTGCCATTGGTTATTTTTTTCATTATAAGTTATAAATGAAGGAATCAAGTAATCTTTAATGACACTGACATCTAGTCTTCATTTTGGAAATAGATAGTTTTATCTTAGTGCCATGCATACTTTGTATTTCTAAGGCAAAACAATGCTTTGGAGCATGTTTGGTCAAGCACGTAGCATTCATTTGCTAAATGTATATTATTCCAGATTCACATGAGAAGGTGTAAGTAATGTAATCATGTAATCCTGAAAAAATATACAATTACTTTAATTAATTGTTGATGGATACTACTAGAGCACTTTGTACTACAACAACTTTTTGTCTTCAGGTTTAAAGCATTTCACAAACTTATTCTACCCAACTACAGTACCAACATGGAATATTGCATGTTGTGACTGGAAGGATTGACCCTGCTGGGAGTTTTGACTCTGATACCTCTGAAGATGGAAGGTTTGAGCCTGCTGTGAATGTGGAGTCTGAATTATCAGAGGACACAGAAGTGAGCCAGGAGGATGAGAGATTGTCGGAGAGAAAATCCTCTCCAGAACCTTTGACTTCGTTCATGCAAGCAGCTGATCCACAAAATGAGCCAGAGGTTTCTAGCGAGGAGGACACTGACGGATGTTGGCTTGACGCTAGAACTAGGAGAAGATTGAAATGTCAATCACAATCTGAAAGGAGGCATCAAGCCAGACATTGATTAGAGAGATTGACACGCCCATCCAGGGGATTTAAGGAGGCATGTTGACTCTCAATCTTTGCTTGGAGCAAAGTGCTTTGTGGATTCGAAAGGATACGTTTGAAGCGGCCGTTGTGATTTATGAATAATTCTGAATTGCCAGACAGATTCCGGAAGACTGCCAAGGACTGGAAAACAGTACAGTTAACTCTTTTGAGTCTGGTTTTGTTCTTGTTTGAATATTTTGAACTCTGGAACTTTGTATTCTCACCTGTGAATACAGGTGAGACATAACATTTTTGCTCCAAGCCAAGACTCCATCTTATAACCAAGATGGACCCAACACAACTGAAGCAACTGGTAGAGCAGCAGCAACAACAAATAGACCAACTGTTACAGAATAATCAAGTACTTCAACATCAGGTAACTCAATTGGTTAATCATGTAACACAATTACAGGCTCCAGTTGTTCCTCCAGCTCCTCCTCTTAGGAAAAGCCCGGTATCTGTGCCGGATAAATTCTCGGGACAGACTGATATGTTCCTGGAGTTTATGGGACAATGCCAATTATTCATGTCCTTATGACCTGAAGATTTTCCTAATGACTGGGCTAAGGTGGGGTTTATTATTAGCCTTTTATCTGGACCGGCTGCTAAATGGGCTACTCCTCTGCTGACACAAGATAGCCCTTTATTAAATAACTACCAGGGTTTCCAGCAACAATTACAGGTTATGTATGAAAATCCTATAAAGAGCCAAACTGTGGCTAGACATTTGAGGGACATTTGCCAGGGGAAATGTCCTTTGCAAGAATATATTGCAGAGTTTCGTCTGCTCTGCATGGACTCTACTTGGAACGAGTCAGCCCACATGGATGCATTTCAGGAGGGCTTGGCAGATGAAATCCAAGATGAATTGGTGCATGCGGAGTGGGCTTTAACCCTGGATGCTCTAGTGGTACAATGCTTGCGCATTGAAGCCTGGTTACAACAGTGCCAGACCACTCAGTTAGGGAACCGCCCTCTTACTCAAGGTCGCAACCTCCAGTACAACCCGCGCCATTGGTATCCTATAATACCATGACCAGGACCAAGGAGCCGATGGAGTTGGGTGCACTCCGCCCTCGGTTGATGGCGCAAGCACACTCGCGAAGGTTCCAGGGAGGTTTGTGCCTTTACTGTGGGGGACCGGGACATTTTGCAAATTCTTGCAAAAAGAGGGGAATGCGAAGACCAGTGCCAGAATCTACTCCTAGCCCATCGGGAAACAGGGTAGGCCCGACCTCGGGGAAACCCTAGGTCGGGCACGTTTCACACCCCCACCCCAAGCATCTGAAATGAACTCTGGCCCTCCCCGGCATTTACTTTTGGATACACAAGTTTTTCTACAGTCCCGGAAGGAGGGGATTCCTGCGGTTGCGTTGGTCGACTCTGGGGCTACTACTAGTTTTATGGACCGGGCCTTTGCAATGCACTTTGATGTCCCATTGGTTGCTGTGGAACCACCCATCTGGGTGGAAATCGTTGATGGGCATGAGCTTAGGTCTGGGCCCATTCGCTTTGCCACCCAGCCATTGCGTTTGGTTATCGGAGACCACGAGGAGGCGATTAGCTTCTATATCACCTCGGACCTCCATCTCCCCTTGGTTTTGGGCAGGGCCTGGCTACGGTTGCACGATCCTCTGGTGGCTTGGGTGCAGAACGCCATTTCGTTCCAGTCTCCAGCATGTGGATCATCTGAGACATATCTGCACTGGTCAGGACATTGTCGCCCCTGCTGTTTCCATTCCACTGGAGCTATCGGACTTCTCTGACGTTTTCAGTGAGAAGGAGGCAGATCAGTTACCACCGCATCGCGCATATGACTGTCCCGTGAACCTTCTACCTGATGCCCCACTGCCCAAAGGTCGCTTATATTCCATGTCTGAACCCGAATTGGCTGCTGTTCGGGATTTTCTGGATAAGAACTTGGCCCGGGGATTTATTAGACCATCATCGTCTCCTCTTTCTGCTCCCGTTCTTTTTGTGAAAAAGAAGATGGGGGAGTTACGTTTGTGCTGTGATTACCGCTGGTTGAACGCTATCATGGTGAGAAATAGTTACCC